GGCAGAGTCCCTGCCCCAAGCCCAGCATAGCCACCTGTGGCTGGTCCAGCATACAGCTGTACTTGTTCCGTCAGCAAAGCATCCAGAGGTGGCCCATGGGTCAGAACTGCAGCACGACAGGCTCTTCCCCAGCAGGTGCATACTTAAGGGACATGGGGCCTGACCACAGCTGGAACAGCACACACTTCCAGGTGGCAAGCTTGGGAAAGGATGCCTGCCCCTTTTCCAAGCCTCCCATCTATACCTAAGGAGATGAACAAGGAGAGTACATCCCAGGGTCCCAAGAGCAAGCTCTTTTCTGGGTTTGGCACAATAATCCACCTCCAAAGCATTCAACTCCCCAACTCTCCCCTTTCTCTGGTAATGACGTAACCCATTCTCCTTAACCCCTCAAGGTCAGCTCCAGGAATAGAGAAGAACATGGGAGAGACGGGACAATGAACATTTTGCTCTGAGGATTTTTCTTAAGAAAAAAAATTTTCCCAATATCACTTATAATTGCTAATAATGTGATGCACCTCTAGGTGAAAAAGGGAAAAAATGGCGTCTGGTAGTTAAAACAGCCAGAGCCCAAGAGAACACAGGGCTCTAGCTGAGCTCGTGGCCAAGGGCAATCTCAGCTCCTGCAGGCTGCAGCCTCCAACAGGGCCACATCACCCAAGAGGTTGCTGATGCCTGCCAGTAGGGCAGGGCCTTCCTCAGAGCTCTGAGGGGGTAGCAGGGAAAACCCTTAATTTCACCCACCTTGTCCCTTCTCCCCCTTCATTCTACATCCGCCCACCCATCACCCATGCCCACACCCACCCACAGGCTTGCTTGATGGACCAGGGATCTCATTTGAGGCTTCCTGCTAGAGTTACAAGCAGCTTCTCCCCTGCCTCCTTGAAGACAATTTCTCCTCTCTCCCCCACTAAATGCCCCCTCTTTTCCCCATCCTTTCCAGGTACTACCCCACCTCCCCAGTAAGCACATAACATGTCCAGCCACCCAGCACAAAAAGATAGGCAGCCTCTTGTCTGAACCATACCCACAGGGTTGACAGCCCCATGTTGTCCGACTGGAGGTATGCTTCTGTCTGGCAAAACACAAACACCCTTCTGACCCTGACCCAAAAGGTAACACAAAGGCTGCCAAGAATTTCAAGACTTAGCATCATCTATAGAGTGGAGGGCTGGGTAGGACAAAGACATCAATCTGTCCTCCCAACAGACCATGACAAGTCTCAGAGATATTCTGCAGTGCCCTCTGGCTTGACACAGTCCAGTGATCAGGGTTGTGTGTGTTGGTGTGTGTGAGACTGTGTACTCATGTGCATGGGGGCAGGGGCTGTGTCTGCTCTCCAGGCATCAAGCTCCCCAGAGGTAACCAAGTCCAGACCCTGCTTTCCCCTGCAACCTTCCTCCAGTGTGCCGCAAACAGATTTCATGGATGGTTAAATTGGATCATTATCACCAAATGCTTATTTGGCCAAAAAAGAAATCATTAATGTCATCTGCCCCCTCCTCATGAGGTCCCCTCCTCTAAAGATTCTCCAACATACTAATCTCATGAACTGCGACATACTACAGCATTCGGAAAAGAATAATGGCGAGAGGAAAGAAGAGAGCGGTGGCAGAGAGAAGAGGAGGCTACAGCAGTGCTGCATTCCCATGTGAAGATGGGCGAAAGGAGCCATGGCTGGAGGAGGAGGTGGGGAAGAGGCAAAGGGGAACGAAACCAACCAAATGAAAGCAAGCCCTTGGTCGCCCGTGTATGTGAGACAGTGTATGTGCAAAAGCGTGTGCCACTGCGTGTGTGAATGTGCCGACTTAGCCCTCCTATCAGAAGGCTGCATCCGTGTGGCATGTAAGAAAGGCCATCGCACCACTGTTGTGTTGCAAAAAAAAAAAAAAAAAAAAAAGCAAGAGCCGCATAGCCATCAGAATCAGAATTTTCTCATGGAGATGGAAAGGGCTGGAGGAAAAGGGGGTTGGGTAGAGGGTAGAGGGGATAGTGAAAAGAAATAGAAGGCAAAACCATGGCAGAATTGGGGGGAGGAGAGAGGGGGAAATCGGTGGTAGGGTGGACAAAATTGCACACACAGAGAGACACAAACACACACAATACCCAAACCCCACCAACCCCACCGCTGCACTGCTCATCCAAGACTGACAACTCGGCCCCCATCTCTCCACTGCCTCTCCGAGCCCCCAAAGCTGCTGCCGGATAGATTTCTGTATCTCAATTTTGCAGCAGTGGGCTAATTATGACCGAGCCCCCTCACCAAATTAACCCCTCCTCTCTCTCTCTCTCCTCTCTCTCTCTCTCTCTCTCTCTCTCTCTCTCTCTCTCTCTCAGGCCAATTGAAGAATAATGTGTTTTTAGAGATAATGGATTTTTTTTTCAAGGAGCGAGAGAAAAGGGGGATTCAGGACAGAAATTCTGCAAGACGGTGACTTCCAATCTCACCTCCAAGTCCCCCCGTGTCCCCATTTGCTGGAGCATCTCACCTACCATTCTCCGACCATTCCCTTGTCCCCCACTACCCAAAAGAAAAGACCTTCCTACCATGCACATCGACAAACACACCAACCGCCACCCAATCTCAGTAGCCGATCTCAAAATCCCAAGCATCAATCCACCTCGATATATCGTTCCCTTATATAAGCAGCAATCATCAACATAGAAACGCAGCATTAAAAAGAAACCAACAAAAACAGAGGCCAGACCCCCATCAGTCCCCCAATAATTAATAATAAGGATCTACCAGAGAAGCAAAGACATAATAGTCTCTCAAAATCTAGAATCCCTTTGATTCTTGGTTTCTCTTCTTAAGAAGCAATTTTCTTAAATTATCATTTCACTATAAAGGGCCAGAAACCTCCAGAAAAGGGCATTCGCACAGTCCAATTGTTAAAAAAAAAAAAAAAAAATTTTAACCCAGCCCTGTTGCTCACTTTAATAGCGAACTTCCAGTGTCCAGCCTTTTCCCCCTTCTTCCAGAAGGAAGACTGGCTCCCAGGGTGAACCCAGGGCTGCAGAAAATGGGCCAAAGAACCCTTACTCCATTCCCCAACAGCAACAAAAATCAAACAATAGGAATATATCTGCACAACCAGCATCCCGTCTGAAATATCGTTTACCCCAATATGACTTAGGCAGATTAAGCCTAAGATTAAGAGAAAAAAATACCAGCTTTGCCTGTCTCTCTCCCCACCATCCTTCCGACACGTACCCAGCAGCCCTTAGGTAAACTTGCCCATCATAACCAGCGGGACCATTGTAACTTGAAAGGCGACACAGAAGCCCTTGAACGGTGAAGACAGGCTCTACCCAGAACAGCAAATTGAGAAAGGGCCAGTGCTTCAAGCTCCTCTGACTAACCTCCAGGTGCCCCCAGATAGACTATCCCAGCAACCAAGTCACCCAGCGCGCCGGGAGTTCAAATTTCCACTGGAACCTTCATCACAAAGACAAACGGTCATCTGACCCCTGAAACTATATCGTCCTCCAGGTGTGACAAGGAGTTCTCCCTTCTCTCTCAGGGCCATTCTCCAGACCCAGGGCAGAGAAAGAATTCAGAATGTTGGGGTAGCTCGGGGTAGCAAAGGAAACAGTCTCTCCCCAAAGCGGGAACAGTGAGAAGAAGCAGGGCAAGGACAGCTCCTATCTACCTGATCTCATGGGTCCAACTGGGATCACTCTATCCTAGGCTAGCTCTCCATGATCTCTGACCTTTGCATTTAAATAAAATAAATAAAAAATAAAGCTCAAAGAAAAGGAAACCCACTTTACCTAAACAAAATAATGGTTCGCAAAGTATTTTCTCATTGCACAATGATTTTTCGGAGCCAACTCAAAAGAGGGAAGCATTTAATAAAGGAAGGGAGAAATTTATTTTTTAACAAGTAATCACAAGATAAGTCACCTGCAAGGCAGCTGAGCCCATAGGTTGGTATTACATCACTAGCTTTGGAAGGGATGGGGGCTGGGGGACAGTTATTTTTCCACTGTCATCAATATGATGATTATAAAGCAGCTAAGTTTTGTGGTTAAAAAAAGAGAGAGGGAAAATGTCGAAACTCTGGGTACAGCACAATGCTTTGAAAAAACAATACATCGAACCAGGCTTTAAGGTCACTGAGAGCTTGCAAAACCCACAGTGCTTACACATAGTGGAAGTTTTCAGGCAAGCCTGCTACTAAATCATTAATATAAACAAATGGAAGGCAGAGGAGGAAGATTCCCTTGTAACTGATCCAAAGAGGAGAGTACACGCACGCACATACACACGCGCATGGACACACACTCCGTTTTCACCTGTGTGTTGCCTTCCCAAGATAACAAGTCTGCTAATTTTCACTCAAGAATGACCTCTCCATACCCCCTCCAAAAAATCTCTCTTCCCCATCTCTCTCTCTCTCTCTCTCTCTCTCTCTCTCTCTCTCTCACACACACACACACACACACACACACACACACACACACACACACCTCGGTTCCTCAACAGCTAGGGAAATCCCTGTCTCTGACCCATTCTGTCTTGTGATTCTCAGAGTATCTTCTTCAGGAAAAGAAAGAGGTAAGTACCACCAAAATGTTAAAAAAAAAAAAAAAAAAAAAAAAAAAAAAGTGCCCAAAGTGAAGTGATTGACACACATCATTCTAGACTAATAATCCGAGCAAAGAGAAGAAAGACTGAAAATAAAGAAAGAAGTAAAAGGAGAAGAAAAAAGAAAATAATAAATCTAAAACATTTTCAGACTTTTCCAATGACTGGAGCAAAACAATCCAACTTCCACCACAAACTGAAGCCAAAAAGGAGGAGTTGAAAACCCATTCCCATGGTCAGCAGAGCCTCTCAAACCCGGCGTTCAAAACGAGAAAAAAAAAAAAAAAAACTAGGTTGGTCGCTCCCAGCTGAAAACTTCTACCCTGTCAGGAGCAACCTCTTCCCAGAACGGACAAGAACCTCGAGTTGTTCCCCAACCTGTCTGCCTTCCTGTTTCCCAAAATCTTACCTCTCCAGAAGAACAGAAGAGTTGGGGATCTGTCAGTTTGGTGTTTAATCAACTGAGTTTTCTGGGTGTTTCCTCTTTGGGAAGATTCAAATTCCAGAATCTTTCTCTCTCCTTCTTCTTTCTTTCTGTCTGTCTGTCTGTCTGTATCTCTCTCTCTCTCTCTCTCTGGTAAGGAGTGGCAGGGAAGGAGGGAGGGGGTGCTGGAGGTCCGAAAACCAGGTCCTGGGTGGCTAGAGCTGCTGGCGGCTGTGAGAGGGGAGGACACGCTGCCTCTCCCTCTCTGTGAGTTGCACGCAAGAGGAGATGTGTAAGGCTGCGCTCTGAGCCCGAGACTGCCGGAGGAGCCCAGGAATTTCACGCACTCCAGAGCTGGCCCCTCCCTCTCCCACACAGACCCCGGCATTTAAAGAGACAGCTAGGCTGCCTGGCTCAGGGCTTCACCTCCTCCCAAGCTGTTTTGCAAACAGCTGAGAAGGTATAATCGGGGATGGGGCAATCTGCACCCGCTTCACGACTACAGGGTGGGCTCTAGAGCACCCGTTCTTTCCTTATGCTAGCCTGAAGAGAGTTCCTCCCCAGAACTGGAACAAAAATCCAAATAAAGACTTCTTTTTCAAATCCTCATTTATTTTTTCAGCACACTAAAGGTCTGTCCCACTGCCTGCCGAGGGTACACCTGCTCCACGGAAGACTGAGAAGGCAGAGGGGATGCTACCCTGCAAGTGTGCCTCAGTTTCTCTGAATAGTCACTTCTCCTTACAAAATCAGGGCAATCCATGAGTTTCTGGTGGAGGTCAGGGCTTAACTAGGACATGAATCCATTTCTTCAACAAACACCTTTGAATGCTTTGAATGCTGGCTTAGGGTGAGTTATAAAGGCAAGGGGTATGGAACAAAGAAAAGAAAGTGACACATGAGGCTTCCACTCCAAGGGTCCTACAGAGAAAGACAGGCCATGGCAACTCTATCCTAGGGAGCTACAAGCTAAAGGAGACAGAAATAGGGCTCAAGTGCTTTAGTGGGTCAGGAGGAGATGTGTTCTCTGACTTGTACTTAGAACACAGGGCCCAAGCGTTTCCCCTATACACCAAATCCCTCAAAAATCCATCCATCACCAGCCTTGATGAACTAGGTAGGCTGTGTGTGTGAAAGTATCCCCTCCAGTCAAGTCTAAGCAAGGAATGATGGTGGTACAAAACACAAAGGTTTGCTCAGTATCAAACCCTGGTGCCCATGGCATGAAAGCATCCGGAAGTCCTTCTCCTTCCTCCTCTTTCCAAGGATATGTTGGCATATCATTCCTTCTTCTGGTCAACACCAATGACAGTCAAACACTTTCCACAGGCCAGCACATGGGTCATCACTTTGAATTGACTGAAGTTATTGCTAGGTGAGGCTCGCCTTGAGCTTTAGAGAGGCACCCCATGGTCACCTAGTCAGAAACTGCTAGCAACAAATTTAAAATCAGGTCTACCCAAATCCAGAGCCATAAGGCTATTGTGACTCCCTTCCAGGACCTTGTATTTCTGCTCTTTGTAGGACATTCTCCCAGCATCCCACCACTCGTGTCCTAGGCATCATGCTCACAAGACACCAAATGTCTATGGAAGTCCCTGGCCCAAGAAAGATTTGACTCATTGGATAAGGACAGAGGTGAATTCATATAAACCAAAGGAATATAACAGTCAGGAAGCAACATAAAGGATACCCTGGGCCTGCCAATAAGCAAGTGATAATTCTGATCTGCTGACTGGATATATCAAGTCAAGCTCTATAGACTGGTGGCATTTTGGCCAAGCCTGGGTGGACACAGATAATCTCAGCACTGTTAGTGTATTCTGAAGCGTATTTGGCCTTGCAGATCATGATCTCATTTTCTTACAGGTTTTTCAGTCTTCAACACCTCCATGTGCCCAACATACCCAGGAACACAAACAAATATGTCCATTTAATACATGGCTTCTGATCTTTGTACATTTACTCTAGGCATGAACTGCCCGAGCACCAGATATGTGTCTTCCTTTTGCTTCCTCAAAATCTATGTATTGTATTCGTCCCCAGGATGCAGGAAATGTAGCAGCAACAGCCAGGGTAACTACAGCACCCATATGGGAGCTTCAGGAAAAGATCCAATAAGGACAAAAGCTCAAGGGAAAGTCTGGGGACACAGCTTAGGTGATAAAGTGCTTGTTATGCAAGCACAAGGAACTGAGTTCCTTAGCACCCACTTTAAAAACTGAAGACAGGAGGATCCCTGGGGCTCACCATTTAGCTAGGCTAGCTAAACCATGGCTTGGCTTTCAATTCAAATTAGAGACTCTGTCTCAGAAAAAAAAAAAAAAAAAAAAAAAAAAAAAAAAAAAAAAAACCTGTCACCGTATATGGGGCTGTGGGGCTGAAAAGATGGCTCGGCGATTAAGAGCATCTCTTGCCCTTCCAGAGGACCCGAGTTTGGTTCCTAGCATCTATACTGGGCGTCTCACAACTGCCTATAACTCCTGCTCCATAGGATCAGGCACCTGCACACATGTGGCATATACTCACACAGACACATGTACATACATAAGTAAATACATACATACATAAATCTCGGATCTCTGTGAGTTCAAGGCCAGCCTGGCCTACATAGTGAGTTCCAGGACAGCTGGGGCTACAGGGAGACCCTGCCTCAAAAAGACCAAAATAATAACAATAATAGTAATAATAATAAGGCTTAAAGCAAATAAGAAAGGCATGTGATATCAATCTCTGACCTACACACATACATATGCACACATTTGAACATGTACAAGCACAATCAAACATGGAAGAAGGAAGGAAGGAAGGAAGGAAGGAAGGAAGGAAGGAAGGAAGGAAGAAGGAAGGAAGGAAGAGAAAGGAAAAAAGAAAATAAAAGTTCAAAAGGGGGATGGAGTCATAAATGTGGGGCACCTACTCTTCTGTAAATAAACCACTACCCTAGGCTCTGTTAAAAATAATAATAATAAAATAAAACAAAAAAAATAAATAAGGAGGGGGCTGGAGAGATGGCTCAGCAGTTAAGAACACTGGCTGTTCTTGCAGAGGACCTGGGTTTCTTTTCCAGAAGCCACATGGTGGCTAACAACCTTCTGTAATTCCAGTTCCTGGGGATCCGACGCCCTCTTCTGACCTCCAAGGGCGTTGCATGGCACAGGCGCCCTTGCATACATGCAGGCAATACACTCACACACATAAAATTTTAAAATAATAAATGAAAAAAGAAAGGTCCAAAAGGAGAGCCCAAGGACCCATTGAGAGCCCTCAGGTGTTAGTAGCCATGGGAAAACACTACACAAATAAGGAGAACTGAGCAGGAAGTTCATTTCAGGGCTGAGCACAGGGAATCCACACCAGGATGCCCAATCCAGCTTGGCCATGTAAATTCTACACGATTTGGATCATTTTCCTCATCTCTTTCAAGTTTCAGCATCCTTGTCAGTGACATAAAAAGACGCTTGCACTCAGTTCATAGGATTGCTGTGAGGAGTAGATGAAGCCCATTCAGAACACCTGTCCCACAGAAGCACTTCACAAGTGTCCCTTCCCTCAGCCCAGAGGTCTGCATTCACCCTGGGTTAGGATTGTGAATGCTGGGCTGCCCCATAGTTGGCATTTCTGCATTCCAGTTTCTTTTGGACACTCTTCAAATTCCATGCAGGAAGATCACAGTACTTACCACCCCTTTGCATGTTTGGGGTCCCTTTGCTATGGGAGACCCCTCTGCTTCCTATCCTACTTTACCATGTGTGTATTTTGAATGTTATTGTCATCTTACTCTATTTAGTAGTTTCTTAGGCTTCTTAAGTATTATTTACCTTCCAACTACTCCAGCGTCTTTTTCATCTGCCTTTTATCATGAAACCTGGACTCGTTTTATCCCGTTCCTATATATCATTTTAGGTGGCTATCAAGCTGCTTATTCTTATGATCCAGCATTCCCTCAGAGAGCTGGGGTATTATGAGGATAGATATACAAAAGAGCCGAGGAAGGCAACATCAAAGAGAGTAAGATGGGTCTTCTTACAGACATGCAATGCAACCATAAGAAAAAAATAAAACAGAAACAAGATCAGATGTTTGCCAAAACAATGCTATATCAGCAATGAGACTCATCTTTCTTTCCTAAGGGGAGAATTGGTGGACACAACAGAAGCACCCAGAGACCCAAGGCCTTCTATGCTCCCTTCTCTGGTTCTAGGAGGAAGAGTGCCTTTGATCTGAGGTCACAGGTACTGGGATTGCTGGTGGGTTTATCAGCCTTCATGCAAAGAGCACAGGCCGTGGAATGCTTCACATTTCTCATCTACCCCAGGCCAGTTCTTTACACAAATAATACAAAACAAAAATCCCAATCAAAAGGATAAGTTGTCCATGACATTATGAAAAAGTTTTTTCATAATGATGTCAATAATATTACCCACCAAAGTACCCTGCACCCTCACAGGCCCGTAGTTTACTAGCATCATGATTAAGATCCCAACACTCCTGAAAAATTGTATCTTGGTTAAATCCCAGCTCTACCACTCATTGCCCTTGAGACTTTGGCCAAGTGACCAATATCTCAACCTTGTTTTCTCATGTATCTATAAAGTGGGGATAATGCTAACATCTTCAAACACTACCTGTGTTATATCAAAAGCACCTACATATAGTAAATACCACGTGAGAATTCATCATAAAACATTTCAATTGTCATTATCAGAGTAGAATTTAAGACATTTAATATGTGAGAAGGTCTAGTCAACCACAAACCAGATAAAACATGAGGAAAATGGGCTATACATAAGCAACTGGCTTGGCTGTCCCAGCACAATGCAGCTCTCGGGCACAACCTCTATTACTATTACCACCTGCCCAAAATTAAATAAGCACTAAGCAGACACTAACACAGCATCTCATCTAATCCTCACACAAATTCATTTTATTATGCCTTTTACTGAAGTGCATAAAAGTAAGACTATACATAAAATCAGAGTTCTAGATAAACAAACTCAACATATCCTTCCCTGCCTCCCTAATGACTCTTGCTTGGTATGTGAATTTCAGGTAGCTTTTTTTTCATGACTTCCTTTTTTATTTATTATTTTTATTTCATGTGTTTGAAAGTATTGCCTGCATGTTGGCAGGTATGCCATTGTCATGCAGTGCCTGCAGTCAAAAGAGGGCATTGTATCTGTATCCCCTGGAACTGGAATTACAGATGATTGTTAGTCTCCGTGTGGATGCTGGGAACCAAACCCAGGTCCTCTGCAAGAGCAGCCAGTGCTCTTACTGACATCCCCACATTCACTACTCCTGAGTATA